CGACGACGACGACGACGGCGACGACGACGACAACGACGACGACGACGACGCGGACGACGACGACGACGACGACGACGACGGCGACGACGACGACGACGACGACGACGACGCGGACGACGACGACGACGCTCGAAGATTGCCCAGGGGGTTGCCTCGGCGGACACGGCCTGCTGCGACGTGTCCGTATTATAGCACGGCCCTTCTTCCAAAGTCGGGCCCCCCTTCTTAGGTGGCGGACGCGCATCGGTTTTGATGTCCTTCTCCCAAAGGCGGCCCCCCGTGAAGCGACGGACAAACGTCAGTTCTCATGTGAATGCTGCCGTGGGAACACTACTGCGGCAATTTGCCCCGGAGCTTGCTCTCCAGTGCCGGGTATTTACTAAAGATACGATTGGCTAGCGTGGCCATTCTCTTGCGAACAGTAGACGAATCGTGGAGTTCTGCGTCCAATACATCTTTCTGTGAAGGGGGCGCGTAGCCCTTGAACGGCTCGTAAGGCACGCCTGTTCCACAAAATAAATCGGTCACCCCTTTAGAAGCCTCGCAAACCTGAAACCAAGCCTGGATGGCCCCATCGATCTTGAAACGCATCTGAAAGTGTTTCAAAATGCTCTCAGTGACGTCCTTGTACTTCTGAACTTCTGCGATGCTAAAGGGATCTTTGGACACGGGATCGCCAGCGACGAATCGGATGACGCGGCGGGGGCCAGGTCCAGGTTCGCCCACCAATAGCAGCTCCTCCGAAACCCTTGAAGTGTCAGCCGGTGAGAGATGATACCGGTCCGGGCTCTGCAGAATGATTTCAGCAGCATCAATCCAAATTTCTTTCGATCTGAAAGTGCCAAAGTGTGGCGCCCCAGCAATGAGGGCTTCCATTTTCGCTGGCGACGTCAGATCGTACCATGAGCAATCGGCAAGAGTAGCTGCAAAAACCAATGCATCCTCTAGTGCGCACAGATTATGGCCAACCTTGAGGTACAGAGCGTGGTTTTCCACCCAGTTTGCATAAGGCATCAGGGCCCGCCCATACGGGGCAAAGGACGTGGCTTTGAGGAGATCCAGTAAAACGTCAGTAATCTTGTCCAGAAAAGCATCCATGCCTAAAGAGAAGGTGTCGTTTTGGAAGAATGGGAAGGCGTTCGTGGCCAGAGCGTGTCTTGATTGCTCAGAAAGGGCAGTCCTCGACAAATAGACGTTCATATAGAGAACGCGTAAATCTTCCAGAGGTGATGCTTTTGCTGTGACGGCGTCGTGAGCCTTCAACGCACTGCGCTGTACCAGTGTGAATCTGTCGGTTTCGCGGGATTTTGACATGCGAATCGACAAGCCAACGGTTCTACGCACACTAATGATATCCGAACACAACCTCAGCCGACCGGCGTCGGTGAACGTCATGGCACGTAGCTTCTCTGCGCTGCCATAATGTTTGGTCAAATCCGCACAAACACGACTTGATGAGAAGAACGGCGTCGCATAAAGATATGTCGGCGCTCGAACACACTTGCTTAGCAAGTGTTGTAATTCTTCGTCGGAAACCTTTAGCTTCTTGTCGCTACGTGGAATGCCATGCGTTGCAATCTTACCAACGCGCACAATATCTCCACAACCTTGGCAAGTCTTCACCTTATGATAATTTGTTGGGTCACGATCAGGTGGTGCCTCATCATCAAACCAGTGGACTTGTTCCCATAGGCTCCGTTTCATCCCGAAGCGCGGTCGGCTGGCAGAGAAACACTAACAACGCCAGTCGATGGTGAAACCGTCTTGCGCACAAGTGGCTAATTACGGAAAGCCTTGCTAGCTGCGTTGCTAGCCCCTCCAATTCCCCCCCCCTGGCTTCTTGGAAAGCCTCGCAAGTCTCCGCGGTGAGGAGGGGGCCCCCTGAAGGGCGAGAGAGAGAGAGGAGGGGAGGTGAGAGGGGGGAGGAGGAGGAGAGCAGAGAGGGAATGATGAGAAGGTGGGGGGATGGGAGAGGAGGAGACGGAGAGTGAATGAGGAGGAGAGCGGAGGAGGGGGGGGGGTGAGAAGGTGAGGGAGATGAGAGAGGAGGGGGACGGGAGATCAGAGGACGACGAGGTGAGGGAGAGGAAAGGTAGGAGGGTGGAAGGGGAGAGAGGGGAGATGTGGGATACGTGGGAGGGGAGGCGGGTGGACGCATAGACCCGATTTCTTACCCCACATATAATATATTATATGATATATACATATATACTATACATTTATATATATATATATATATATATATATATGTATATATATTCAACAAATATCCCACAGTGGTCAAACAATGTACAAAAAATAATCCGAAGACTATTTTTGGAGTACTTTTTAATACTCCTCCTGTAGAGGGACGGGCCCGACTTAAGCTCAGATGCTGACGTCCCCTTCGCATTCTTCCCCCATGTCGTCGTCGTCGTCGTCGTCGTCGTCGTCGTCGTCAACGTCGTCGCCGTCGTCGTAGTCGTCGTCGTCGTCGTTGTCGACCGCCCCTCCCCGGGAGGTCTCCGGGCCCGAGCAGCAGAGACTCTTCGACCTGGGGGCCGCGCGGGGGAGGCAGGGGGGGGGCGCTTCTGAAGCCCATCCACCGCCAACGCGCTGGGCCGCCTTCTGTTCGTCAGTCGTAGTCCTCGCAGCCAGAAGGTCGTTATGTTCGTCGTCGTCGTCGTCGTCGTCGTCCGTCGTCCGTTTCCCTTTGTCTGTCGTCCGTCGTCCGTCGTCCGTCATTCGTTCTTCGACGTCCGTCTTCGTCGTCGTCGTCGTCGTCCGTCGTCGTCGTCGTCGTCGTCGTCGTCGTCGTCGTCGTCGTCGTCGTTGTCCGTCGTCCGTCGTCCGTCGTCCGTCGTCCGTCGTCCGTCGTCCGTCGTCCGTCGTCCGTCGTCGTCGTCCGTCGTCGTCGTCGTCGTAGTCGTCGTCGTAGTCGGCGCTGTAAGCTGCAAGGTTCAGTCGTAGATTCCTCGCGCTTATGCCCTCAAGCCCGATGCGTTCCATCGGCTGGCCGAGACTGGTGCTCGTCAGTGAGCTGTCGGAGAACAAGAAGTCGCCGTTCTCGGGCGACGACGTCCCTTGGGCCTCCCCTGGGAGGCCCTTCGCCATTTGGCTTCACTTGTCCCCTCCCCCTCCTCCTCCTCCTCCTCCTCCTCCTCCTCCTCCTCCTCCTCCTCCTCCTCCTCTCTCCTCCCCCCCCTCCTCCTCCTCCTCCTCTCCTCCTCCTCCTCCTCCTCCTCCTCCTCCTCCTCCTCCTCCTCCTCCTCCTCTTCTCGGTTCTCGCGCCCCTTGGGCCTCCCCTGGGAGGCCCCCGCCGCCTCGGTCGCATCCGCCTCGGGCTCGTGGCCGGAGCGCGCTCCCGCACGGGGGGCGGGGGCCGATTTTTCAGCCCGGGGTTCCCGGATCGCCAGGCGTCGCGGCAGAGCGAACAGCACGGCAGGTGATTCTGCGCGAGCTCGGGGCTCAACATCCCCAGGCCGAAAGTTTCTTCCTCTTGGACTAAGAATATGAGAACATCCATGGATCCAATTTGATCCCTTTTCGGGTGTGGGAGAGTTTCGTGGATCCTATTTCTGTGCTGCGCGAGTTCGGGGCTCAATGGGGCAGTTTTTGGCCGCCCCAGGAGGCGCAAGGACCGCCTCGCGGCGGAGGTCGTGTCCTGGGATGGGGTGGAGCCTTTTCCAGGATGAGGGGTGTGTGGGGGAGGATGCGAGCACCGAAGTGGAGCCAAAGCCAGGCTGGGCAGGCTCCACTGCTCAAACACAGAAAACTTGCAGGGAGACAGTGCCTGTTGAAACTTCGGCTCCAGCTAGCTGAGGGCCCCGTCACGCCGACGGCCTTGCGTTGAGCAGCTACGTGACCTAGCCCTCACGACCAGAGCTCCGACACATGCAGCGACGCGTGTTGGGAAGTAGCTTCGCGTCCCAAGACGACGCCGAATCATAGATGCGAGCGGCTGTCCGGCACCCGAAGAGCGACCGACACCAGAGCCAGACACCCGTGAAGGAGAAACGGTTGGTGAAGGCGTATACAGCTGAGCGTAAACATCGAGACGACCGAGAACCAGGGGCGGCCTGTCCGACACCCAGCCGCCGCCTGATCCCGAGGCTTTGCCTCCTCCCGGCCTCGCCCTGAGGCTGCGGCTGCGCTCTCCCCCCTTCCTCCCCCTCTTTGTTAATTCAAGCTTCGCGCGGCCCGCTTAGTTTCGACCGGAAGAGGTGCGCTCTCGACCCGCGGATCAAAAAAAAGTCCGACACCCAGCAAGCCGACCATTTTCGTGACGAGCCCCTCGACTCGCTGCAAAACTCGGGTACGTGGCCGGAGCGGAGCCTGGAGGGTGGTGGGCCCGCCACGGAAGGGGCTCGTCATGTAATGGGTCTGTTAGGCCGCGCCCGAGGGAATGACAGCGAAGGCAAGGGGCAGGGGAATGCGGAATTGGGGCTGCTCGTGGACTACATCGAACGCACAGCAAGACAGCTGGAATCTCTTGTGCACAAACAGACTCTACCCACTCGGACTGCGCTGCAACGGCAGATGGTGTGGAACTGCGCTGCAGTGATGCGACGCAGCCACAATGGCAGTGGGCCTGGGCACGATGTGTCATTCACTGGCACCCGAGCCTCCTTACCTGCAAGGTGGCACAAGGGAGCCATGCACTACACCACGAGCGATGGTACCCACCACTCGACTGGCACACAACAACCGCCAGCCCGCATCGGCTGACAGAGGTGAACAGCGGCGACTGGGCTCACGCCGCCTGAAGCGACACTTGGACACGGCTGAGGCAGTATACGCTGACCGACACCAGGTTTCTGGGTAGGATGAGGAGGAGGAGGAGGACGACGACGAGGAGGAGGAGGAGGAGGGGGAGGAGGACAAGCTAGGTGCGCTCGCGTCATATCTGACGTCCTACCCCTCCCTCCCATCCCTTACCATGGCGCTGATTTTCTCTATCCGCGGACGCGTGTCGTAGCGGACCTGTGGCTCCGCGCGCGCGTGCGTAGTGGGTGGTGGTGCGCGTGCGTGCCTGCGTGCGTGTGTGCGTGGTTGTGGTGGTGGTGGTGGTGGTGGCTGTGTGGCTGGTGGTGGTGGTGGTGGTGGTGGTGGTGGTGGTGGTGGTGGTGGTGGTGGTGGTGGTGGTGCGGCGCGGTGGTGGCGGGCGGATGGGCGCGCGAGAAAGAGGCCCGCGCTGGGGCGAGAACGCCATCCTGAACGACGGAGGCCAAACACCGATCCGAAAATGAGGCCCACGCTGCGGCGGGAGCACGATTCGGAACGATTCGGGAGCAGAAATGAGGCCGGCGCCTCAGCGAGAGCAGCATTTTGAAAAAAAGCAGGCGAAAACCCAATTCCCGGGAATCCTGTGTGTTAAAAAAACAATACGCGGGGCGGGGTCCGGCCACTCCCAGCAGGCCATCAGGGGAAGAGGGAGAGTAGTATTCATATTGAGTAATTGTGGAGGAGGAGGAGGAGGAGCAGGATGCACCGATCCTCCTCCTTCTCCTCCCCCTCCTCCGCCTTGTAATTCTGGCGGCCCGCGCAAGGGGCTCGCGCGAGGGGGGCGACCCCCTGAGCAGGCGCTTGTCTGCCAGCTAGGTGGATACAAATGCCGCGGCCGGCCTGGGCGAGAGCTGGATACACATGTCGCCATGGGGGAAGTTGGTCCTGAGGGAACCGGGTCCTGAGGTTTTTCGCCGCCGTTTCTGGGGGGCTCGGGACCTTCTGCGGGCCCCAGGAGTGTCAGAACACGGCTCAGGATGAAGACCTCGTCCTGGGAGAAGAACCCGGGGCCAAGGACTCGTTCCCCTCAGGACCCGTTTCCCCCCTGCTACACATGTGGCCAGGTGCTTCTCCAGCGCTCGGCAGTTCTACGGCCACGTAGGCTGGGTTTCGGATGTGTACCCGGCGAGCGGCCTCCAGGTGTTCCACACGCGAGTCCAGCCATGCGTGTTCCCAGTACGGTGGGGGCGTTGGTTAAGGAATGTGTCCGGGGGGGTTCAGACCCTGGAGGGTTCCTGATCTGAGGATGGCGGCGGCAATATCCACTGCCAATCCGCGATTGGAGTTCCACTGGCTTCCAGGCCATGGATCCCCCACCGTATCGCGATAAGAAGACAGGGGAGCGGCGTCAAAAACCGGGGTCGTCTGCACCGACGTTGGCGCGCAAGCCGTCTGCGTGAGGTCGCGCGTGAGCGCCCTCGTCTCCTTTGCAGCTTGCCGTGCCAGTGGCCCGCGTACGCCGCGGCGTGAGGTCGCCGCGCCCTCTCGCGTGGCACCTGGCTCTTGATCGTCGCCACAAGGCGGCCTCTCAGAAGCCCCCCCCGGCTTCTGAGAAAACCCGCGCAGCCTCCGGGCCCTTCGGAGCAGCCCCCCGCCGTCCAAGACGTCCCCCTCTGCCTCCCGAGGAGGCCGCCCCCCCCGCGCCAAACCCCCCCGCGCGCGCGCCGCCCACCGCCTCGCCGCCCACCGCCTCGCCTCCTCCCGCGGAGCCGGTCCAGCTCAAGCGTGGGCCGCACGCCTGTCGCAACACGGCACGGCCTACCCGCGGCGCCGCCGCGTGGCATCCATACCAGCTATGCTCCTGGCCTGGTCGGCCGCGCTCCTGCTGGCCAGGGGCGCGTCCCTCGGCATCCTGCCGCCGCCTCGCCGCGGCCAGCGACCATTCCGAAGAAGAGCACCATGCGCCAACACACAGACTTCCGGAGGTCCGCGCGGATTTCTCTGATTTTTGTTGGGCCCTATTGGCGGCGCCTCCGGCGCCGCACCTGCCGCGCTTCCGCCCCGGGCGCGCTCCGCGCGCCGGGGCGGGGGGTCCAGCGTCAATCCACGGAGTCCGCGCGAACCTCCGAGTGTGTATGTTTATGTGGATGTTCTCTTGTTCCCATTCACACACCTTTATTAATACGTCTACCTCAAAACTCTTTATGGCCAACGACTCTACCCGGAGCTCGGAAAGCGATGCGCAGTTCCTCATTCAGGCAACCTTCGGCCCCACCACTGGCAGCCTGGAGGAACTTGGCCAGACGAGCCTGCAGTCCTGGGTCATCGAGGAGCAAATCATGGCATGCACATTCACGTTAGCCAGAATGGGTCCCAAACAGTGTGTTTGTAGCAGCATTTGCTGTGTCAAGGCAACGCAAATCAAAGCAATGAAACAATCAACTCAATGCAGCGCAACGCAAAGCAAGACAATGCAGTGTTAGGTAAGACAAGCCAATGCAAAGCAACGCAAATCAATGCTGTGCAATGCAAAGTAACGCACAGCAATGCCATGCAATACATCGCAAAGCAACGCAAAGCAAGGGAAAGCACCGCAAAACAAATCTATGCAAAGCAATGCAAAGCAAGGCAAAGCATCGCTCTGCAAAGCAATGCAATGCAATGCAGAATCATGCAAAGCAAAGCAAGGCACAACAAAGCAAAGCAAAACAAAGTAATGCAAAGCACTGCACCGCAATGCAAGGTAAACCACCGCAATACAAAGCGAGCAACGCAATGCAAAGCAACGCAAAGTAACGCCCTGCATTGCTCAGCAAAGCCATGCAACGCACCGCAAAGCAATGCACAGCAAAGCAAAGCAACGCCATGCAAGGTAATGCAATGCAATGCAATGCAAAGCAAAGCAAAGTAAAGCAAGGCAAAGCAATGAAATGCAAAGCAGTGCAAAGCAATGCAACGACGGGGCGGCGACGGGGCGGCGACGGCGAGCACGGAGCCGCCAGACAGTCGCGAAGGCCTAGACGACTGGTGGCGACGAGGCGGCGAAGGGGCGTCGATGGCAAGCACGGAGCCGCCAGACCAGCCCGCAGGCCTAGACAACGGGCGGCGACGAGGCGGCGACGGGACGGCGACGGCGAGCGCGGAGCAGCCAGACTGGCCCGCAGGCCCAGTTCCGTGCCGTGGAACAGAAATAAGAACCCCTGAGTGCAAGCACTCTAAGGAGAACTTTCGGAGGTTCGCGCGGACCTCCGAAAGTTTGTTCAATGCCATTGTTTGTTCTCTAGGTCGGGGCCCAGCTTGCCCACCCTGTCGGGTCCCACCGCGAGTACTATCGCAAGCGGGTCAACAGCCGGCGAGTCGACAGCCCCACAGTCGGCCTGCCGCGGTCGCGGTGCGCGGTGGGCTCCCGGTGGCACTCTTACGCGCTCAGCGTCGCAGACTTGGGGAAGCGGATCAACATTACGGGCAACAAGATGTATGTCGACAACGCGCACAGGAGATCTTTTTTAATTTCTACCTTGGCAATCACGGGCGTGACCGGGGGGGGGGAGTCCGAGCAGATGGGGTCGGAGTAGAGGGAGGAGGAGGAGGAGGAGGAGGAGGAGGAGGAGGAGTAGGAGGAGGAGGAGCAGGAGGAGGAGGAGAAGGAGGAGGAGGAGGAGGAGGAGGAGGGGAGGAGGAGGAGGAGGAGGGGAGGGTCGTTGTCACGATTCGCGCCGTCTGGGGATGCCCAAGAGTGGCTAATGCCGAGACGGCGCCAGCGCGTGACCAGAGGGCGCGGGAGGGAGGCGGGACCAGTCACGGGCGTGATCGCGCATCTTGAAACGAGTGAGCTCCAGGAGCGACATCGACCCGACCTATGCTGGAAATAGTTTGCCCGCCCCTGATAACTGCACGGACAGGTCGTTCACCTCGTCGAAGGAGTGCAGCTTCATTCTGCCCTCCGCCCGGTACAGGTGTGGCCGCTCGAGGGAGGGCTCCAGTTGGCTCACCGAAAAGTACTGCCAGCAGACTTGTTTTGATACAGGCAACCCGTACACTGGCGACGATTGTTCACCAGGTTGGCCGTCCTTGGAGTTCGAGGGATTCATTTGCCTCGTCGAGGAGGAATTGGGAGGCCTCGTCGCTCTTGGAACCACGGAGTCTTGCGACACTTGGGTTTCGCTCGGTCGGACGGGGCGGAGCCAGGTTTTCTTGAATCCTGGTATCTGGTTCTCTAGTTCTCCAAGCGATTCTGGTGCCACGATGACCTTCCAAGAGGTCAGGCCAGGAGTCGTTACGTTTGCCCAGAGATATGGTGAGGAGCCGTGCGATCTGGGCCCGTTTGTCTACCACGGTGGCCAGTATTATTTATCCGACGCCAGGTTGGAGTTGCTCCAGAACGACCTGGTTTCGCCCTCGGGCGGTGAGCTTACTACCTGCCGCGCTGTGCCCAGGACGCCGCGCGGGGTCCTTCGGTGGTTCCTCCTTGCGGGGCACTTACGGGGTTCTGTGAGGTCCTTGCGGCGTCCTCGGACATAACCCCACATGGACCGCAAAAGGACCCTGCAGGGACCTTGAAGGTTACAGGATTCTCATACCCCCCCGTCCTCACCCGTGTCCTCATTTTGTCGCGCTGTGCAGAGGACGTTCCTCAACGAGGGCAGCTGCCAGCTGCGCGCCGCGTGCGGCGCCCTGGAGCTGGAAGGCAATCAGCCCCCGGCGACCTTTGTCCTGAATGCAACGACCTTCGAGTCATTCTTCAACCTATCAGAGAGATACGTGTTCTCGGTCACGGGCCTGGTCGACGCCGCGTCTCCTTGTGGGAGGCGCTCGCGGTGGAGGGAACTAGACTGCAGCTCGGAGAACTGTAGCGCGACGGCCATGAGCGCCACCGATGCTGCCGCTGTGGCCTCGGCCATCGCGCTGGAGGGGGGCGGCCTGCGCGATGTGTACGTGAGTTGCGAGAGTGTGGAGGTGGGTGCGGTGGTTGCCAGCGGCTCAAGCTACTTCATGCACGTGCACTCCAGTGAGTACAACGTCTACGACTTCACAAAGTGGGTCAGCGCGCATCCAGGCGGCATGGATCCCATTAAGCAGTGGGCCTCGCGAGGGTTCCAGCTCGAATTCCCGTCTTGGCACCCGATGAGCCGCTTCACAGATGCGCAGTCGAGCCACCTGGAGTACATCGGGAGGCTGGGGGACACCGTCGCCTTCGACGTCCTGCCTCAGGGGCTTCAGGCTGCCTGGACGGTGGGCTACGAGTCGTGCGGGTCGCCAGGCGAGGTGGCGAACGATCCTAGTCTGGGGCACCATTTCAGCTTCCACACAGACTTCCCGTCACGTAACACCGATAATTACTTCGAGATGCCCTTTTGGAGCATCCGGACCGATCTCTCCAAGACCACGGTGTGGATCAATATGGCGTTGGATGCAGACGACCAGCTGCGCCAACGGGCGGCCTGGGCGCTCTCCCAGATCCTGGTGACCAGTGTGAGCGGTGCCAGCGCTGCCAGCTCCAGCTCGGAGAGCTGGCTCACCTACTACGACATCTTCGTCCGAAATGCCTTCGGCAACTACCGCGACATACTCAGGGAGGTCACGTTCAGCCCGATCATGGGCGAGTATCTGAGCTTCCGGAACAGCCGGTCACTGGACTCATCGGGGACTTTCCCCGACGAGAATTACGCGCGGGAGATCATGCAGTTGTTCACAATAGGCCTGTGGGAGCTCAACTTGGACGGCACCAGAAAGACAGACGCCAATGGAAACGACGTGCCCACGTACAGCAACGATGACATCACGAGTTTCGCGCGCGTGTTCACTGGGTTCGCAGAGCAGGCGCCGCGTCCAAACATCGAGGACTTCTCGCCAAGAAACTTTGTGGACCCGATGCGGCTGATTCCAGACTGGCACGACGTGTACCCGAAGACAGACCTGAGCGGCGGCTATCTGGGCGATGGCTTCCCGCTGTGCTCGGACCTGCCAACGCGAGCTTTCCTGCTCGAGGGGGCGAGGTACCGGTTCGTGGGGTACGCCTACTCCGGAGCAGACCTGCTCGTGCTGAGCTCCAGTTCGGCGCTGTACGCTTCGCTGGCGCAGATCAGGCTGAGCGTCGAGCTCAACAGCTCCGTCAGCTGCTACGCGGAGGAGTCAGATCCGTCATTCGTCTCATTCGGAGGTGGACAGGCCTCCTACCCTGACACGTCGATCAAGGAATTGGCCGTTTTCGGTTCGCGAGGGGGCGTCGCGGCCGTCACTTTTGCGGGTCCAGGTCCGTCGGTTTCGGTCCCAGGCCGTTTGCATTCAGGGGAGGTTTGCTGAAGGGAGGTTTGTCCACCGCCGACTCATGTGCGTTTTGCAAAGAGCGGCATGACGAGTGGCACAACGGGGCCAAGCTACTTGCTACACCTACTGCGCGTCCTTATCCTTTTAAAGTTGGGATGTGGGTGAGAACGCGAAACACGTGAACTGCCGTCTCCTTCCTGGTGCGGGGCTGGTCTGGGAACGTGGATTTGATTCATTTGCGAAGGATCGTAGCCCTGGGAGCGCGCGGGCCCTTCGTAGCTTTCCGGGGTCGTGGTGATGGGAGTGCGGATCCTCGTTTTTTCTTCCTGGGGTCGCTTTGGGAGCGCGACCTCTTGGTAATTTACTGGGGATCTTGGTCCAGGGAGCGCGGATCCCTGGTCATCTACTCGGGATCGTGGCCCTCAGAGCGCGGACCCGATGTACGTTACAAGGAGTTGTGGCTCTGAGCGTGACGCTCTTGTTTGACGTACGGGGGGGCTTGAGCGTCTTACTCAAGAAGATTACGCCGTTCCACCGATCCCCCAGAGGTGGAGATGTGTGGCTTCCGATTTCGTCTTGGTGGTTTGCCGCATTCCCTCCTCCTCCACCTGCTCCTCCTCCTCCTCTCCCTCCTCCTCCTCCTCCTCCTCCTCCTCCTCCTCCTCCTCCTCCTCTCCCTCTCCCTCCTCCTCTCCCTCTCCCTCCTCCTCCTCCTCCTCCTCCTCCTCCTCCTCCTCCTCCTCCTCCTTCTCGCCGTCATGTTGCCTGCGTGTACTTGTTGCTGATTTCTCCTCTCCACTGCGTCTGTCGTAGGGCTTCTCGAGGGCCTCCTGGAGGCCTCAAGGGCGGCCTCCGGGAGGGCTGGCTTCTGAGGGGCCTTTTGGGGGCATTTTGTTGGGCGTCGCGGGGGCCATCTTGTGGGGGAGGGCTCCCGGGGCCCACGACGACGGAGAGCTGCGCGCAGGGAGCTCGGCGACTACGACGTCGCCAGCCTCAGGCCTCGGACACGGGCGGGCGGCAGATTTGTCGCCGCTTCCCGGACCCCTCCCCCCGCACGCCCCCCCGGGGAGGAGCCCTGGAGGGCTCTTTTGGGCCTGACCCCTCCTTCCTCCTCCCTCTTCCTTCTCGGAGCCAAGAGTGTCCATGATGTGGCGGGAGCTATACGGTCGGCCCGGATTAGTAGGTCGACCCTGCCAGCTCAAGGGTACCCATGTGTCCTGTGCCTGGCGACACGTGCCTTCTTACACTCCTATGGCGATGTGGCCCTCGGAAGGGTCTTGTGTCCTCTCGCGTGTCCTGTCCAATCGAGTCCGACTGTAGCGGAAGGCCGGCGCCAACGGGCGGAAGGACAGGAGAGCGTTTTTTTTCTTCCTCCGGCGGGTAAAACTTGTTACCCGGCCCCCCCCGGGTAACGCTAACGAGCGTACGTTTTTGGCGGTGGAGGGCGGACCCCCCTCCTCTCAGCAGGTATGGCAATACATGTGCCAATGGCGCGGACGCACCCTGGCGGGCGCACGCCGCGGCCGCCGTTACCGTTACCCGCTGGCCCAAACCCCCCCCTCGGGTAGAAGCCGCTACCCCAAATAATGAAAACAGTCTCCAGGGGATGCGTCCCCGCCAGGAGGTGTGAACAGTTTTTGGCTCAGAGTTTCCGTACCCCTCCAAACAGCTGGTCGCTTCGACGAGAGGGAGAGCTCGGGGATACAGCGACGAGGGGCTGCTCGGGCCCGCCCCGGTACGAGGATGGACGCCCCCTCTCTCTCGTACATCCCCGACTGAGCTCAAAACGATTTGGCCCGTCGACAGTCCCACTGAGTTGGGGATTGGGGTCGCCAAGATTTATGATGTTCCAACCTACTTTAACCTTGATCACCAGAACCAATTTCGAGCACCAGAAAAAAATGTACCGAAACTCGAGGGTTGTCACGTGTGAAAGAGCGTGTTCTACCGCTGCTGGCGGAAAACCGGGGGGGTCACTACCGGTTCGAACCCCTCCCCCCCCCCCCCTCCGGAAAACCGGGGGGGGGCCACTACCGGTTCGAACCCCTCCCCCCCCCCCCAGCTCATCATGAAAAGGGGGGGGGGGTCACTACCGGTTCGAACCCCTTCCCCCCCCCCCCTCGAAAACCGGGGGGGGGTCACTACCGGTTCGAACCCCCCCCCCCCTCGAAAACCGAGTGGGGGTGCGGACAGTGGTGGGGACGGTGTTGGTGGGGACAGTGGTGAGGGGATAGCGGGACAGTGGTGGGGACAGTGGGACAGTGGGACAGTGGTGGGGACGGTAGTGGTGGGGACAGTGGTGGGGACAATGGTGGGAACAGGGGGGGACAGTGGACAGTGGTGGTGACGGTGGTGGTGGGGACAGTGGTGTGGGGACAATGGGAATGAGGTGGAAACAGTGGGACAGTGGAGGGTACAATGGTGGTGGGGACAGTGGTGAAGGCGGTGGCGAGGACGGCGGTGGGACAATGGGACAGAGGTACAGTGGGGACAGTGGTGGGGACAGTGGGGACAGTGGTGGGAACAGTGGGACAGCTCAGTGGGACAGCGGAGGAGTCAGTGGGACAGTGGGGACAGTGGGGATAGTCGGGCAGTGGTTGGGGCCGTGGAGACAGTGGGGAGAGTGGAACCGTGGTGGGAACAGTTCTGGGGACAGCGGGGACAGTGCGACAGTGGTGGGGGCACTGGTGGGGACAGTAGGGGCGGTGGTGGAACCAGTGGGGACAGTGGTGGTGAGGACAGTGGTGCTGGGAACACCAGTGGGGGATGTGATGCGGACGGTGGTGGGGACCGGGAGTCGTTTGCTGGCGGTGAGTAGGGGGGGGGGGGGGGGGGGTTCGAACCGGTAGTGACCCCCTCCGGTTTTCCGGGGGGGGGGGGGGGGGGGGAGGGGCTCGAACCGGTAGTGACCCCCCCCCTGTTTTCCGGATCCGGAGGGGGCGGGGGCGGAGGGGTTCGAACCAGTAGTGACCCCCCCCCGGTTTTCGAGCGGGAGGGGGAGGGGGGGGGGGTAGGGGTTAGGGGTAGGGAGGGGGGGGCTTTGCCGGGGGGAAAGGGGGGGGGGAGGGGTTCCAGCAGGGGGGGGGGATTTTCGGAGGGGGGGGGGGCGACCCCTCGGGTTCCGGAGGAAAAGGTTGGCAATTTTCCACAGTAAAGCGGCGGTGGATCACGCTCTCTCTCACGTGTCGGGCCCTGGAAGACACGCGTCCGACACTATTTCGACACTCTGTCGACAGTCTTTCGACACTTTTCCGGGTGCTCGAAATTATTTCTGGGATGTGGTCCTTAGTACGATGGGAGCAACATAAGCCAAGACTCGTGTTACAGTGGGCGGTCGGGAAGGTGGCAGCACATGTCAGGTCGATCGGGCTCATTCTCAAGACCTCAAAAGTGTGCGGGGTTTCTGGTGGTTTGTTTTATTGGCATCCTGGTGTTCATTCCTTTCTTGATTGCGATGCGTAACCAGTCGATCAACATCACGTGCCCTGATGCCCTTTCCTGCCTGCCTAAGGCCCGCAGTCTGTTGCTTTTCAATGTCTCCCGTCGTTTCCCGAATGCTGGATCTGACCGAGGAGTGCGTTGTCAATACCCTCCGTGTAGTCAAGGTCGGGGAGGGTTACTACCAGTACGTCCGCCCGACTTGCGTGAACCTCTACTTCTTCAACGGTCAGTCCGCCGTTGAGGGCCAGATCAACGCTCCTGGCGCCTATCAGCATTCCAGCAGCAGGCGGAGGCACACGTGCATGGATCCGAACGCGGCGGTTGCCGGCGCGAGCTGCTGCAGGGGATGCAGCAATTACATCCCCCAGCCTCGAGATTACGATTGCGACAACATGTATGAGGTTCGGGCCGAACGAAAGGGGGGGGGGTACGGAAATTTGCTGCATGCAGCTGGTGTCGGCCCCGCCGCCGGGCCCATTCCTCGATGCATGGGCGCCTCCCGGCGCCAGGAGGCGCCTGGAAAATCAGTTACGTGAGCTGATTCTCACCCCCCCCCCCTTTGCTATCCCCCCCTTTCGCCTGGCCCGAGAGGTACAGCCGTGGATACTCTCCAGGGGCTGTCCAAATATCAGTAACTGGGACGTCCGAAAGTTCTGCCAGCTGACCTGCTGGCAGCACGGCGTCCCCTACACTGGGGACGACTGCTCGGATGGCCTCATCCAGTCGGCGAACGTGTGCGGTTACAACCAAGAGAGGGTAAGCTTCGCGACTGCCAGCAGGGAGTGCGAGCGATTGGGCATGCACGTCTGCGAGCAGACGACGAACGGCAGTCAGTGCGGCCAGGACGGCATCCTCGTGTGGACCCCGAACGCGTGCACGGTCAGCGTGGAGGTCGGGGAGGACGGCAGGGTGGCCTCGCAGCGGGACGCGAAGACCAAGCAGAATCCCATCTTCGTGACGTGGGCCAACGGCTTTCCTGTCCCGGGCAGCTGCCCCAGCCAGTGCACCGACAGCGCTTCCGGGTGCCTCTGCCCCATCAGCGTAGACTCGCGTGCCGTCTTCTCCTCGGTCCCGACCCGGTCCCAGCTTCTGGGCGAGGCGTCTCGCCTGCGCATCGGCGCATTCCCTCCCTCGGCTTCCGCCACCTGCCTGGCGCCCTGCGACGGGGAGGTGAGGGCGTACGCAGCAGGCGGGAGTGCGAGCGTGGACTCGAGCACGGTCTTCGAGTGCGACGGGGTATACTACAGGAATCTGGAGAGTGTCGTGGAGGTGGCGGGGCACAGCTTCCGCAATCCGCCCGTATTCGCACTCGCCAAAGAGATGACCGGTGATTCCGTGCGAGCGGAAGAGATTTTTGCTGAGGTGGAGGCGCTGTTGGACCATCTTTTCCGCCATCCCAACTTACCACCCTTCGTGTCATACAGGCTGATCCAGCGCATGGTCACTTCCAATCCAACGCCGGCCTACGTGTCCGCCGTCGCTCAGGCGTTCAGCACTGGCGTGTACAATGGCGAGACGTACTCGGGCGAGTATGGAGATCTCGGTGCTACATTTGCGGCTATCGTGCTGCACCCTGAAGCTAGAGGAATTATGTCAAGCACCTCGACGGGCAAGCTGCGCGAGCCCTTGATCAAGATTATGCACTTCCTGCGGTCCATGGAGTACGTGGATTTAAGAGGGCGACAGATATACACCGACTATCTGGACGAGATCGTTGGCCAGTGGCCCTTCTGGTCGCCATCTGTGTTCAATTATTACAGCGCAGAGTATGCGCCAGCAGGCCTTCCTGACGGTCTGGTTGCGCCCGAGTTCGAGATTTTCACGCCGCCGTTTGCGATCCAATGGCTCAACGGCATGTTGTCTTTGGTTGACTCTGGCAGTCTCGACCAGTGCAACGAAGGTTTCGGCCTGTCGTCTCGCACTTGCAATCAACCCGAGGGAAACCTGTCGTTTTCTGTGTCCAGCAGTAGCACTGCTCCCACCGATGCCTTCATGGAGGTCTCCTTGCTGCTGACTGGCGGGCGCATCAGCGATGCGCGCGCTTTCGACGCAGCACTCGAGGCTTCTTTGGACGGCGACCATCTCAAGGCGGCCATGCGCACCGTGCTTATGTCGCCCGAGTTTCACACTGAGGGCGACCCGGAGCCAGCTGGCGAGCGCGCCGCGGCGCTTGAAGAGACGCCCCCTCAGCCAGATTCTTACAAGGCCATGGTCTTCCTCTTTTTCAACGGGGGCGCAGACACCTTCAACTTGCCGGTGCCCACTTGCAGCGCTCTCTACCAAGAGTACCTCACCGTCCGGCAGAAGGTGGCGCTGTCCCAGGGCCAGCTGCTGGGGAGCTCGGCGGACTCCCAGAACTGCACCACCTTCGGCGTCCACCACGCCCTCCCCCTTCGTTCGCGACCTCTGCGCGCAGGGCCAGCTGGCCTTCGCCACCAACCATCGGCGGCCTGGAGGCCTGCCCACCACGCAGGCGGGACTGGCGGACCGCGCCGCAGTGCGCCAGGCTGTTCTCCCACATCGACCCGCAGCACGGCGGTATGACGCTGAAGTGCCAGGTACAGGGCGTGTCCCCCAGGGGCTTTGGCGGGCGCCTGGCCGACGCCCTGGCCGGCGAGGACCACTTCACGACCTCGTGCTCGCTGGCGGGCTCGGCCACGTGGTCGCGGGGGCAGACCACAGGCATGGGGCTCATCGACGGCAGGAACGGCGCCGTGCGCATCGACGGGGTACCGGGAGCTGCGGGCGGTCGTGGGCAACGTCACCGGAGTCAGTTACGGCAACGTGTACAGCGAGGAGTACACGCGGCAGTTCGACCATGCGGTGCGGTCCAGCGAGAGGTTGGGTGGATTCCTCGACTCGGCGGAGCTCTCGACCTCCTTCGACACCAGCACCACGCTAGCTAGGCAGCTGCACCAGGTCGCCCGGCTGATCGCCACCAGGACCCAGCGCGGCGCGGAGCGGGACCTCTTCTTTGTGGAGCTGCGCGGGTTCGATACGCACGGGAGCCTGAACGATGACCTCTCGTCCAGGTTCACCGAGCTCAATGCCGCACTGGAGGACTTCGTGTCCGAGCTTCGGGGCCAGGGTGTCTTTGAGTCCGTCGTGCTGGTGACCAGCTCCGACTTCGGGCGCACGCTGACCTCGAACGGCGCGGGCACCGACCACGGCTGGGCGGGAAACCACTTCGTGCTGGGCGGCAGCATCAACGGCGGTCGCATTTTCAACGAGTTCCCCCAGTCTCTGCTGGAGGGAAACGCCCAGGACGTGGGACGAGGAAGGCTGATCCCACAGTACCCGTGGGAGAGCGTGATGGCCCCCATTGCGCAGTGGTTGGGCGCGCAGCCTTCCTCGCGGACCAGCGTTCGTTGGCTGAATTCCGTCTTCCCGAATCTCGTCAATTTCAACATCTCCGAACACATCATAAGCGCCGGCTCGCTGTTTGTCGGCTTCGACGTGGCCACGCTGGCCCCGACGCCGACGCCGACTTCAGCACCCGCGCCGCCTCCCACGCCCACGCCGACGCCGTCGCCGACGGCACCTTCGACTCGAACGCTGGCGGCGATCGTGGCAGTCAGGAGGGAAAAAAACACAGACACAATTCATCGTCGATTCCCAAGGAACTATGGGAAAATAGGGGAAGTGGGGGGGGAAGACAAACACCCAGAAAATATGGGAACATATGGGAACATATATGGGGAATCATGTTATATATTTGTGTGTTTATTTGTTTGTGTGTCCTTGAGCCCCTTGAGGCTGGTGCCACGGAAGTGCCCGTGGCGTCCACGGCGGGCTTCCACGTCGGCGACGCCGTCGTCATCGAGGGCGGCGGGCGCAGCGAGGCGGGACTCCTCGGCGGCATCCGGGCGGCGCGTGCCGCGCCGGCGGCGGCGGCGAGCAGCGGAGTGCTCGTGCTGGCGAGCGGCTTGGCAAACCACTACCCGATCGACTCCAGCGTCACCCTGTCCATCTCGGGCCGGACGAGAGGGGGGGAAAGGGGGGGGGAAAGGGGGGGGGGGGGAAGGGGGGGGAAAGGGGAAAGGGGGGGGGGGAAAGGGGGGGGGGAAAGGGGAAAGGGGAAGGGGGGGGGGGGGGGGGGAAGGGGGGGAAGGGGGGGAAAGGGAAAGGGGGAAAGGGGAGGAAAGGGGCCCGTCTATTGGGAAAGGAGGGGGGGTACGAAATCTGCTGCATGCCGCTGGTCTCGGCCCCACCGAGGGGCCCCGTGCCTCGAGATGCATGGGCGCCTCCCGGCGCCGGGGAAATCAGCCACGTGAGCCGATCCTCAAAAAACCCCCCCTTTGCTATCCCCCCCTTTCGCCCGGCCCGACGATCACCGGGGCTCCGACTCCTGCGCCGACGTCGGTCAGTGGAGGCCCGGCGGCCGGGGACGTCTCCGCCACTGGAGATCCCCACCTGCGGAACATGCACGGCCAGCGGTTCGATCTGATGAAGCCGGGTCGCCACGTTCTGATAAACATCCCCAGGGGAGAGCGCAGGAATCCGCTTCTGCGGGTGCAGGCGGATGCGCGCCGACTGGGCGGATGCAAGGACATGTATTTCCAAGAGCTGAACATCACGGGGTCTCTTGCAGAGGCAAAGCAGCCTGGAGGATACAGTTTCGATGTTTCGCACCGTGCTGCCCTGACTCCAGGATGGCTTGGTTTGGGCAAGGTTGAATTGAAGATCACCATCGGCAACACGATAAGTGGTCTGTACTACCTGAATATGTACGTGAAGCATCTCGGGCGCGCAGGGTTCGCGGTCGGAGGCCTGCTTGGGGACGACGACCACACAGACGCAAGCACTGTCCCAGAGGAATGTCATCGCAAAGTTGCTCTTGGGGCTCAGGAGCTGGCTGTGGACGGGCGCAAACGCTCCGAACAGTCAGTTGCAGTGGCAACGGCCGAGTGAGGGGCCTTGCCTGCACTCTCTGGTGTCAAGGGCGAGGAGAGGGCACGGGGTCGGAGGAAGGTGAGGGTGCATGATGTTCATGGCAGCGTAAGCACTCTTCCCAAGGAGTGCTACCGCCGCGTGGCTCTTCTAGCTACGCCACTGCGCGGGAACTGCACCGTTTTTCGTCAGGAGGGGGAGACGGGAGTGGGGGCGGGGGATTGTATGGACAGAGGGTGGGAGGTGGGAGGTGGTGTGAGCGACCGCTGTCAGCTCGGGGCTGCTTCCCCAAACAGTTCTTGTACAAAGGGGTCCCTACTTATTCAGGAATGGGGTGGGCCCGGCGAGGTTTCGCCACGTTACCGCCTGGGGCCGCCTCGTAATCGCCTCGTGCGAAGGGTGCGTCTGGCGAGGACTTCGCCACGGTGCCGCCTCGTGGCCACAACGTTCGCTGAGTCGGTCCGGCGAGGTTTCGCCACGTTGCCGCCGCCTCGTGGCTGCCTCGGGCGCTGAGTCGGTCTGGCAAGGTTTCGCCAAGTTACCGCCTGGGCCTGCTTCGTTGCCGCCTCGTGGCCACGCGCTGAGTGGGTCTGGCGAGATTTCGCCACGTTGCCCCCCGTGGCCGCCTCTTGGGCGCACCGTGCGTACACTGCGTAGCTCACACCACATAGATTGCACCACATAGCTGGCACCTCGTAGGTCACTCCACATAGAGCGGACCACATGGGGCGTTCCCGAAATGGCGTTGCCTTCGAGGGTCGAATGAGTTGTCAGCTCCTCTTCGGGGGAAGGCGGCGGAAGGTGGCAGAAGTAAGACGAGGCTGCCTCCGCCGGCGGAAGCCAGCGGAAGGGTGGCGGAAGCCGGCGGAAGTAAAAGATGCAGCCCCCAGAGATGGCAACATCTTTTGGGTTCATGGTTTCCAGAATCCGCCACATAGCTTGCACCGCATAGCTGACAGTTCATCGCTCTCACCACTGAGATTGCACCACATAGCTTACACACTATATATCATATCACATATTGTCTTTTCTACAAGGTAAATCGGATCTACCTCCCCGCCCCCGACTTAACCGCTCACTTTTTCGTATTGCAAACTGCATCTGATGCTGCCCCATTGACTCTCCTAGATATGAATGCATACTATTGCAGCCAGGCTGGTACCCCCCTTATCATTTTGCCAAAATGAAGTATGCGCGCGCATTCGTTTTTCAAAGACATCAGTTTCCAATAATCCCTTGCAACAGAGACGGGACGAAGTGCGCACGCGCGCGTCGTCGTGCGCGCAAGCCGAAAATGCCTCAAACACCAGAGCTCCCGTAAGGATTTCAAATCGATTGTCCCGAAAACATTCAAAAACAACATTGTGTCGCAACACGCACTTTCAAGAAAAGCTTGCGCTCGTGTTCTTGCGAATTCTTAAGAGATCATGAGTTGCCAACCTGGCCATAATGCTACCAAACGGGCCTCTCGCGCGTGCATGTCGAAATCGTTCGAACGCCCTTGCGCGAGTGCTGTCGCAATACTCCTTTGCAGGACATTGGACGAGGCGCACACGCGCGCGTACCACGGAACATGGAACATGCCGAAGTTTGTCAAGAACCATAGATGTCGCAAGGATTTCAAAATCGAGTGTCCCAAACCATATCAGTTTCCAAAAGGCTTGCGTTCGCGCTCCTGCGCATTCTTTAAGCAGCCATTTTTTCTTTTGTTTAAAAATCCTTGTTCGTTACATTCGGCCAACGGGCCTCTCGCGCCGCATGTCGAAACCATTCGGACGCCTTTGCGCGCGTGCTGGCGGGGGACGATCCGTGTCAAATACTGCCATGCGGGCCACCTTCGCGCGTCGGCTGCGCGCGCATGTCGAACTCCTTCCACAGCCTTCATCACAGACGCGGGGACGCCGTCAGGGTGGTCGGCGTGATCAACATCGGCGCCGTCACTAGCCATGCCGTCGTCGTTGTCATCTTCGTCACCAGCATCGCTACGATCATCATCGTGTCTACCGTTGTCGGCGTCGCCATGATGCCGCGCCCGCCCAATTCACCGACTCGCACCGAGGTGCCCGCTGGGACGTGCCCAGCGTTCAGCTTCACCTCGGCCGCGCGGGTCGGGCCAAACTGGCTGGCCGCTGCGCGCGCGAGCATGCGCGGGCAAGCTCGGCGGCAGAGATGCGCCAGCCAATAAACACTCAGCGCAATCGCCTTCGCATGGGTTTTGCAAACCAAGTTGCGTGTCGGTGGGTGGGATTATTGCGCGAGCAGTGCCTGCGTGTAGGCTGGGCCATGCAGATTGCGCCGCATATATTACACCATGCAGCCCGTGCCACACATATTCTCTTTGTTGAAACACTGCTGGATCTACCCTCCCCAGATTTATCCGGTCCTGGATGTGTATATGAAAGCGTACCAATATGAAAGCGTACCATCCCAGGCAAGCTGGTACTCCCCCCCTCATTCCTTGCAAAACCATACTATGCGCGCGCATTTGTTTATCACAAATGATCAGTTCTCAAACATCCTTTTCCAACCGACGGGGCGACATGCATCCGCGATCGTCGTCGCGCGCATGTCGTAATGTTTCGTAAGGGTTACAAGATCGAATGTACCGAAAACATATTTCACACATGGTTTAGTAACACGGATTTTGAAATTAA